ACGCCTATCAGTTTGTATGAAAGAAAATTTACTGTTGACAACTTTAAAATTGGCTTCAGACCGCGCCACCAACGACGACGACGCCGACGCCGACGCCATTTGAGTTAAGCCACTGAAACGCGACTCCAACTGAATTTACGGCCTTGGCTGGCCAGGATTAAGCGCTTGAGTTATGTGTGGCAATAGAGGCGCACACATGAGAGTTTATAGTAGAAATAGAACTGTCTGCCTGTCTGCCTGTCTGTCCGTGAGCCGGTTTAAGCTAGTCTGTGAGACTGACTAGTTGGGATGCAATGCTATTTTTTTTTGCATTTTTTTTTTTGGGTTTAACATTTATTTGAAAGTTATTAGCACATTTTTTCCCATTTTTTCCTGAGATTTTTTTATTTTATTTTTTACTTTTCTGCGTTGGCGGCGGCGCTGGAAAATCAGCGAGCTCTTTTCGCTCTCTTGTTGGCTTGGTTTGCTGACTTTCATTGGAGAAAATGTCGGCGCTTCCGGTATTTTCATTTCCTATATGTTCAGTTGACGCTGCTAGCTGGCCGGCGTCGCCAACGAAGTCGACGTTTGGCGCTTTTGAAAATGAGATTCTTGGCACCAATTCAACACTAAATTGATTTTGAACAATAGAGGAGCGTTGTCCCGGGCAAGCGGCGACTCTCCAACCATTGCTATCTTTGGCAATTTATCTCGCCATGATTTTCGACTATTCGGTCGACGGGCGACGTTTCCGCTTTTTCTATATGCATTCGCCTGGCAACGGCCAAAACAACAGCAACATTTTACAAAGTCAATTTAAATTGATAAAACGAACTTTGCATGCGCTAGCCGAACATATCTAATTGATTATGTTACCAAATATATTTAAAATCATTTTCAACTGAATAAAACTGGGAGCACAGAGAAAGAGAAGAGAGATGAACTTACGATATAGAGTAGGACATTTTGGGAATTATAAGGTGATAGACGCTTTTTTGGGCTGCTGATTTCGGCTTACAAGTAACTATTGACAAAATTATTATTCGGCTTTGCCTGGATTGATAATGTAATTCCCGACAGCTTCTGCAAGTTTCATAGGCAGAAAATAAGTCAAACACTTGCCAGAACTGTAAAAGTTTTCTACACGCATATATGATTGAAGAGAATTCAATAGAATGTAGAAGGAAGAGAAGGAAGTCACTTTTGTAGTTCAAATCATTATGTATTTGGCATTTCAGCAAAATTGCGCCGACGGATATACTTTCAATCCAATTCGAAAAAGGGTATATATACATAACAGAGTATTGATAACATCCACCTAGTATAGAAGAGTGTGCGCTACTAACACAGCTGATTATATAGCGAATATGCCCTTATCAAGTGTCGCTTGCAATTAAAGTTGCAAATAAAAGCCATCAGATTCAATTTGAAGACCGCCTCCAAAACGCCCCGCGATGCAAATTTATATGTGTCGAGGCCGTGGGATTGCAAAGGGCGAGCTTGCGCTTCGTCTGGCTCTCGGTCTGGGTCTGGGTCTGGGTCTGCGTCTGGGTGCTGGGTTCCAAACCGGGTGCTATCATAATTTTTCCGCTGCTTGCACACACAAAGCCATTTTTAGTTTGTGCCGTTGTCGTCGCTGACGCCGCCGACATAATCAATAGTTGTGACTTCCTTTAATGGTTTTCCGGTGATTCAGCACTTCCGTATGCTCGTGCAGCGTCGTTCGTTCCGCCGTTCCAATGTTCCAGCTCCTATTATTTTATTTTGCAAATTTTGCCTCTTTTGTCACTTGTTGGACTTGCTTGGCTGGGCGCAACCGGTTACACTTTAATTTTCGACGATATACCAGAAATTTATGACCCAAGCAAAAGTCTTATTATTTTTTCAAGTAGACATTTTTGCAAAAAAAATCGCTTCTATTAAAAGAAAAATGAGTAATGTGCAAATTATGCGCTTGATTTGCGTGAAGCGGCTTTTGTCGGTTTTTGGCTTAGCCTCAGTTTTTATCACCTTTTAAAAAGTTATTAATATTTCGGTGTGAAATTTATCTTATTTGGTGGTTGCAAAACTGTTGTGTTAAAAAATAAATAAAATACAAATATATATATAAGGATGCAGCAGGAAATGGCACAAACTTCCACCAGGCATCATAAGCTTTTATAACATTTTTTCACGCGCCGTAGATTTTGCCAATTTAGTAGATGTATTTTTCTTTTTGTATATTTATATATACATATTTGCACGTTGGGTTAGATTACATGTGTGTGTCAATGCGGGATTTATTTTTGGCCTGCCTACGCTGTAATACTTGGCTCTTCAAATGGGAAGATTGGCTTGTAGATACGCCAGATGTGAGTCCAATAATAATTACAAGGGAAATGATATTGTAAACTTAACTTAGAGGCTTTTAATTGTATTGAGTTTGGGTTAATTTTACTGGCAAGCATTTTGGCCAATAGTTGACTAATGAAATTTGCCAAAAAAAAAGTATACACATTTCATTTTATAAATAAATATAAATTCATTTGGTAAAGTGAACAGAAATTTCTAATAACTCAAATATATCGAAAATTTAATATCGCACATTTTTGCCCAACATTTTTTTTATGCTCGCCCTTTTATATTTTATGTGCTTTTTACGTTTTGCTCCTTTGTTATAAACTAAAACACATGTTACGTGTTGTGTTTGTCGGTTGGACAAAAAAAAGGGGCATATAAAAACTGTGGGAAAATATGTGCAAAAATTTGACCATTATCATATGCCGGAGCGAGCATCAAAAGCCCCGGCATAGGCACATCAGTTAGTTATGGTTGCGGCTAGAATTTCAGTTCATGTGGCGTTACATTTAATTTTCCGTGCATAGGGCCATTAATCAATGTGGACGCTAGCAAAAAGCTTTATATTTGTTCACATAAAAAATATATATAAATATATACATATATATATATATCTGCAGTAAATTTTGTTATATTTTGCCTGTTGGTATTTTCGACACAATGGCAGTTCGTTAAGGCCGCAGCCGTTCTAAATTTTAGATTTCGCAGATTAGTTTTTTTTTTTATATGCACTGCTCAACTTTTATGTTAACACTTGCGGTCACATGTTGTGGCTGACGCTTGCCCTGTGCCCAACTTAATGCATTTTAATTAAGAGTCAAGTCGAGTTGTTGCTGTTTCTGCAACTGCTGAGCGCCAAACTTTGTGCTTTTGAATTTTTGCATAATTTTTGCGCTGTGCGCTCAAAAAAGTTATATATATGCAACACGCCGCTTCGCAAACGCGAGCCTGGGCATTGGGTAATAAAATGTAAAATACACTTGTGCATAGAATACCGAAACTTTAATGCCCTTGCGTAGTCGTTAAGCAAGGGATTTTTAATATGAATTAAAAATATAAATTATTTAAGCATATTGAAGTTCAGATAATGTGACTTTCCTCGGTAACTGTTTAAATTTTCAAATTAATGAAATCAAACGACGTCAATAAACAAGATAATCGAGTCTAAAATGAAGATTGTCTGCCCAAGTTTTGCGTAATTATTCTTCATTCAGTATTAAGTTCACATTCTTTCCGCATTACAAGCTCTTCAACAGAGCGTGGCTGACCCCGGGCAAGAGTATTTTTTTTTTTTCACAAATATATAATAATTTTTAATCTGATAAAAAGCGCGACGGTCGCATTGGGCAACACCTTTAGCCAGCTGGAGGCTGGAGGCTACAGTTTGCGGTGGTCCGTGGTCAGGCGTTGCTGCGAATTCATTAAGGAATTCAATTTAAATGCACATTTTACATTTTGCGCGGACAACGCGGCGTATGAGCAACCGTTGGCAACCGTTGACTCTGACTCTCTGTCACTTGGATGCCATCGTTGACGCTTTGTATATATATATATATATATATATATATTTAAAAATCTGCTGTTATTAATATTCATGAAAGTTGAAAAGTTTTTCGGTTATTTATTTAATGTGCGAACTCCGACCTGGACCCCAGAGCTCGAGCCCCCGAAAGCCGAAAGAACAAGTCAGAACGGTGTCTGGACCAGTGTGTGCATAAATTTTTATCATCACGTGCAAATTTTTATAAATATTGCAGGTAATGGACATAAACCTCAGGCACCCCCCTTATCCACATATATATACATAAAAAAAAGTTTAAATCGAATTTAATTTAAGTTTTAAATCGAATGCGTTGTTGATATTTTTTAATGGCTTTGCTTCATTCGGATCTCAGTTTACGAGAGCATCTCATTTACTCTATGACATTAAATTGTGATTTGAGCGTTTTATTTATGCATTGCCTTGTTGTAACGACACCGTCTCTGGGGCGTGTTCAGAAATGACAGCGGGATTGAATATTTAGAATCCTGCTTTGGGAAATTTCTGCCGCCTTTTGCGCGTCTCGGTGCGTTCTAATGCGTGTGCCTATGGATTTGGTATTGTTTTCTTTTTTTTGTCTTTTGCTTGACTTTTTCAAGTTTTTAACAAAGCAAAAAAGAGTAACAGAAAATGAAAAATGTCAAAAGAAATGGGTTTTTGCTATGCCACTGCCATCAAACAAAGAGTTGGGTCAACTCTATACAGGCTTGGATTAAGGATTGCTTTAAATTCAAAAGGCACATGCCCTTTTAAAATGAATAGAAGTATGATTGACGTTTGTTACGTTGTGAGGTGTAACTGTTATTTAAGCTTCGCTGAACTATAAACAGGCTTAAGCCAGCTCTTTGTATTAATAACAATAATAAGCAAGAATCATATTTTTTTATGGTCATTGCGTATTATATAATTTTTATTATACCCTGAACCCATTTAAAATGGGTAAACATTTTGAAAGTAGATTATATTAGTGCCCGCGTAGTGCATACGCGCAGTAACTTTTCCCGACTCCAAGAAATCGATAAATATCGATATCGAAATAAAGTTTTTTTTGAGCAAATCGCAGTCGGGAGCTCCCGACTAGACCCTCTTACTTGTTTAAATGTGCTCAAAAGCAAGCGTTGTTTTCACTGCTTTGAGCCCTATTTAATCGTCTAACCATAATTATGAGGATCATAAACTTTCGTATCATAATAATATTATGCGCGCTCCTCACTTTCCTGTGGATTTGTCTGACAAGTCTGCCTCGAGACCCACAACCAGTGATAACACAAAAGAAAGTTGTGAATCGGACTACACGGCTGGTCAACCACAGTCATAGTCAACGTTTAATGGCCAAGGACACATATCAGACGATAACGGGGGCAAAACAACGCAAAGATCCGTTGTGGCAGCGCATCTTGCAGGGATCACGTCTATTGCTCGGTTCCAGCTATAGTAGCGGCCGGACTGGTGTTCAATATGTGTTAGGCGTGCCCACTGTACACCGTGTGGGTGAGAATTATTTGTTGGGGACAGTAGCTCATTTGATAGAGAAATTAAGCGACAACCAGCGGAACAATTGCCTGCTTGTGATCTATATAGGCGAGACGGACAGTCAAATTGTGGAATCTATATGGGAAGAGATAAGCGACTCATTCGGCGACCATTTGGATGATGGCCTGATTGATGTCATATCGCCGCCAACTAATTACTATCCGGACTTTAAATCGCTCTTTATAACACTGCACGATGATCCTAATCGCGTGCGTTGGCGCACTAAACAGGTCCTGGACTATATGTACCTGATGACATATGCAAGCAGTCGTGGCAGCTACTATCTACAACTGGAGGATGATATCGAACCGACTGTCGGATATTTGGATTATATTATCCATCTAAAGGGATTGCATACACACTTTCGTCTGGACCATAATCGTGGCTGGATTGTTTTAAGTTTCTCGGAGCTGGGTTTCATTGGCAAGCTTTTCCACGTGGATGAGATCAAACCATTTTTAGCCCATGTGCAGAATTTTTACAATGATCAACCCATTGACTGGCTGTTGTATTCCTATGTGAAGTTACGAAGTTGCCCCTGGGACAGTTTGAATACTCCGGACTGCGAGCGCGATTTTTTCATGAACTATATACGCGCCGCCCAGTCTCAATTTCAGCACATTGGCGTAGAGTCCTCTCTGCGTTCCAAGGAGCAAAAACTTCGCGACGAGAAATACGAACGGAATTCGGGGGAGCAACGTATGGCTCATCTGCGACGGCCGATCAACTTGGTAGCCTCTCACACGCACACGTTTCTGCAGGATAGAAGACATTTTGAACCTGGCGAGACCTTCATGTGGAGCTACGTGCCGCAGGTCTCCTTGTTAATGCGTTACCTGCTAAGTCACTTAAAAGATTTCTGTCAGATTAAAATTGGAAGTGATCACGGCGGAAATGATAATTTTAGTGAACTGACTGTACATTTATTCAAAAATCCGCCCATTGTAAATGAATCAGAGACGCGACGTGTTGGTTTCCTTCTAAGTTACACTCATCAGGCTGAGACATGGTATCCACATATATTGTACTTTTATATGACGGAAAACGCAATGGACAGTAATGAAACCGCTTGGATTGAACGCTTTAATTGGACCAATAAAGGAACTTCATTGCATATAGATCTGTGTATGAAAATTTGGATTTTACTGTGGTGTCTGTCATGATTTAAACTTTTATAAAAAATGAATACCTCGAGGGCAAGCCTTCTTAATTATAGTGATTTGCAGGCTCTATAATTCCAATCATGAACTAAACACATTATTTCGATCTGGCTGTCGCGTCCCTTAACAAGTTTTTCTATTTATAGATTTTCTATTAGAATTCCCAAAGAGTTAAAACGTCAACTTAAAGACGTGATTAGTATTAAAAAATCGTTTACGAAGCTTGGGTGTTTTTATAAAATAATTGGAAAAAATCAAATACTGCAACAGACTGTTTTCTCTATGGCAGCCAGTCTGTAAAAATTGACTTGTCCTTAGACTTTCGTTTGCTTTGTTTCGTCAGGGTAAAAAACCAAAAGGGGTTTCATTTTTATTCTTTTCATCTGCTTGACATTTCGATACAGCAAACAAAAATGGAAAATAACTTGAGATATTGCACACAATCAATATTAAAGATAACAAAGCAAATGTTAAACTTTTGGGAGTAGAAAACAAATACAACATTATTACGACAAAAGTAAACTGTGGCTGCGACTGCCAGTGCGGTGGCTGTTCAAGTGCAGGCGGCTAAAAAACAAAAAAAAAAAAAAAATATACAGAATTTCCATCAACTAAATCAGCAAAGCATAGAAAATCGATGAAGCATGACAACAGCGCGAAGAAATCAGAAAAGAAAAATTCAGCCAAAGCCAAAGAAAAAGCAAAGCAAAAGCAGAAGCAGAGCAAAGGCGAGCCTTGAATAAGAAATCATTTTCACTAATGATGCTGGCTAAGTGAAGAAGAAGAAGCTGAACAGAACGTCATTCAGATTGTGCCAAAGATAAAGCTACCAGTTGTTGATGGTTAACCATGAGACCAAAATGGTATCCTTATGATAATGACGATGACGACGGTGATGATGATGATGATGATGCTGATGATGATGATGCCCTGGCGTTTGGCTTTAAACTTTACCTACATGTGCCGGGCGGTCTTTGGCAATTTCCTGCCGTTGACAAAGATGTAGCTACCCAATTTATAGAGTGTTTTTATAGAGTGTTACGATTTGGCAATCGCTTAGAAGCAGACCCCAGAATGATGTATAAATTCTTGTTTAATATTAACAGTCAAGTTGATTTAGCCATGACCGTCTGTCTGCTCTTGTCAAGAAAATAGGTGTAATAGGTCCATCCACCCAATTGGCCGATCAGAGCACTATAGCAAAAGGCTGTCATTAGAATGATTGGTCGAAAATAAAGTCGGTTTTTCTTAAGAAAGATATTTAATCCCAATTTGGTCTTTATGTGGCTCCTATAGAGGCTCCTCTTGATCATATGCCTACAAGAGTATTTAATCTTCGGCGTGCCACAGATAACCATGTTTTGTTGTTGCGCCTCTTGCTTTTAAGTGCTTGATGGGCGTGGCACAAATAAATTTGTTACACGAAACAATGCAATCAATCAAAATAACTAACACACATTCACACACACACACACAGACATACGCACACACCCAAAATACCGCTCGGCTAGGGGCTGCACTTTGTCGCTGTCTTTGGCTGAGCACCGCAACCAAAAAAACCCGGGAAATGGGAAAAAAATATGGCACAAGCGGAACAGCAAAAAGCTGAAAACGCTGCGCTCAACAAAACAAACAGCTGATGGATGGCCCCAACAATTTTCACTAGGTCCAAGGACATTTTGCTTGCTCGTTTTTGTTTTTTGATTTTTTGCTGGCTATCTGCCAAAAAGCGTGGGCATCGAGCTGCTAAATTTGCCAGCTTCCAAAATGGGTCAGTTAGCGTTGGGCACCCGACGACAATTACGAGCAGTTAGTTAGCGACATTCGGGAGACATTTGGTAAATATTTATGCATATTCATTCATAGCCTATATAAGCCTCAGGCAGCATCTACAGCCGTCTGCAGCTTCAGCAATGCACTTTCCTTTACTTCCTTTGCTTTTTTTTTTTAGACTTCGCAATCAATTTGTTGCCAGTGCGTCGCCTACACTTTTGATACCCTAGTAGTGAGGGCATTGTAGCATTAGCAGGGCATATGTAACGCATTGAAGACGAACCTCCAAAATATATATATCAAGTATTCTCCATCTGCCTGCCAGAAGAGACTGTCTCGTATAGTTTGCCTTTTGGCAAGTCAGTTCGGCAAGAGTGTTTAGCATTCGGCAAGCCAAAGATAATTGGTCTGTCTTGTTCTCCTTGCCTTTTTTCTGTTTAACATTCGTTTTCCTTTTTACATTCCCTTTGCTTGCTTCCCTTTCTTTCCGTCTCCCTCCCCTCATTGCTGCATACGAATTGACTTATATTTAAATAAAATTAGTTACATAAACAATAATTGACTTCAATTGGCTTTTGTGTTTGCATAAAATTCAATTTTCATTTCCGCCATTGACTTGAATGCCATCACAATAGATGGCCCTCTGGGTAGGAAGCTGCTTGTGGGCTCTTCTCTGTCTGGGCTTATTTGTGGGGTCAACTAGTGGTATTCTATTGTACTTGCCGCCCTGGTGAGTGTGGCGTATACGTAATGTGGCTGACAATGAAAGTTTCTTCGTTGCATTTGGTGTTGGACTAAAGCGAAAAGTTTAAATAGAACTTAAGAATAAAAATGTTTAGTAAAAACTGGATAGCAATTTAAATTAATTTAATTTTAATCTTTAGTAAAAAATAGGTAGTGTACATGTGAATTGAATGTTGCTGAGAGCAGAAATATGTCTCCTATATAGTAATAATGTTGGGTTATATTTTTATTTATATACCCTATTAGTCTGCATATGTATTTGAATAAAAACAGATAAATTATGATAACTATTACAGGTGTATTTCGGTAAGTTACACATTATTATTTGATAATTTAAACAGCTTTTTGGCTTCTGCAGTTGTTGTTGCTGCTGCCTTTGTTATTCTATTGGCCACTTCTGTTGACATTTGGCAATTCTCATTAAAATGCAAAAATGCATTTATAATTAAAACTGCATAAATGTTTACCCATAGACAAAGCGCGTCTATCACATGTGTGCGTGCGGCAGGGGTAGGGAAAGGGGTAGAGGGCTAGCGGGGTGGCGGGGTGGCGCTTTTTTGCTGCCTTTGTTTGGCTGTCCCCAGTCACAGCAAATAAAATGGCAACCACTGTGGCGGCTTTTCAACTTAATTGTTATAGTAATTGTTTTTATTGAAATGTGTCAAATGCAACGCGATGAAAATTAAATTTTGAATATTTTATTAACACGACGGCTGCGGCAACTGACTACAAAAAATATAAACATAACAAAGGCAACGAATAAAAGAGTCACTCACCTGTCGATGCGCTTGTCAGCCGACATATCACATTATTAATTGATGAGCATTAATATTTTCTGAGATGAAACTAAATAAAACAGGTTGCAATGCAGCAGTCGCGAGTAGTTGATTTGTAGGTATACTATATCGAGTTATCTCTCTCTCATTCGCTCTCTGTATGTTAATAATGCGTACTTTTTCCACCTAACTAAATTATCGCTTTTCTATGCGATTTTCATTATATCCAGCTAGGTTATTTATTTTATCAAGTGAAAGCTTTTTAAAAATAGGTACGAAAATAGGTTTTTTTTGTTAAGCAAATTAAAAACCTTGTAATTTATATAAATTGAGCCATACCTTCTTTTAAATATAAATGTTTAAATTATTTAAATTCCATTTTTGATGCCTCCTATAGAATTTCGAATGAAAATCTATATAAATATAGATGCAAAATAACTTTTTTAAATAGAACGTGTCTTTAAAATTGTCTAGCAATTTTTTGCCATTGCATTTAACAATAAATAATCTCAATTTTTAATACAACGAACAGCACAAAGATAAATAATATTAAAAAAATACAAGCATATTGTATTTTGTTATTATTTGCTTTTGTTTTAATCGAATTATAAATAATAAATCGCTTGTATTTGTTATTTCATTTTCTATGTGTTGGCCATATTCGCCATGTTGGCCAACATTATTTATTTATGCACAGTGCCAGCGAACTTTGCGTGTCACAAAAATGTTAAAATATTTAAAAATATATATTGTGAGATGTAGGCAAAAAAGAGATAGATAGAGAGCGGAAGAAAGAGACAGAGCGAACAAAAGAGGAGGTAGACAGATTGAGTTAATGTTTTTTCTGAAATTTTCTGTGGCTGTGGCACATTAAAGTTGAAAGTTGAAGCTGCAAGTTGCAAGTTGCTAGTTGCCAGTTGAATCGTAACCGCGCGAACAATAATAAAATGCACAACTTTATTTCGCAATGCTGCACAGGCAACAGGGAGTCAAGCAATAACAAAAACAGCGAGTGCAACAATTGCTGCAAATAGTTGCTTGGCATTTTCTTACGAGTATTTTTAACATTTTGCCCATTCGACTTCGATCGTTTCCTTCGTTCTGTTGCTGCACTTTCATTTCGCATGCTACGTGGCGCAGAAAACCGAACGAAAATTTCCAATTGTTGCAATTTTCAATTATTGTTTTGAAATTGATGTGTGCTTAAGGACGAGACATTCATGCTCGAGTTGCCAGGACACACAAAAACACACACACAACCAGTCTGAGACTTGGCTGACTTGTTGTTGTTTTGCGGCATGCGCGAAGAATATTTGCACAGCAATCGAAGTGTGTGTTGAACGTGTGTTGAGTGTGTAGCAGGGGCTGGGCCAAGATGTGGCAAACAGCTTTAAGTGTGGCCCAGGTCAAGCGGAACGATTTCAATGCTCAAATATATTAACCTTAAGAAATGGTTTCCAATTATACCCAAAACATTCCTCAAAAAAACTTTAAATAACTTTACATATATGAACATAATTATGATAAATATTTTAACTGCCAGCCATGTAACCTTCAGCAATGCCCTTTCGCCAGGCGCTTTCTTTCGTCTGCATGGTAAACTGTTTCTCAGCTTGAGTTTGCCTGGTGTAAGCAGTTCTTTACAAAGTTGGGTTGCAATAAAACAGCATTCGCATATATCATCATAATAATAAAATAAAATAAATTTAATTACACACGGCAGGCAATCCACTCACTCATCGCCTGGGTACGCCCCCAAACTGAACACAACTTTTCAGCATATGTGA